AGTGGTTTTTTGAGATACTGGATTTATATGCAGTTATATGTAGCTGTTAGCCTCCCAGTGTGGGTGCTAGTAATGGAACCAGGGTCTTCAGGGAAGGTAGCAAGCATACTTTACCACTGGACCATCTATTTATCCCCCAGGCAGTAGTTTGGATAGTGGTCCAGAACTCCTGAATTCCAATTTGGAGCTATAAGAATGTGGGTGTAGTTCCTTTTCTATTTAAATTAGAAACAAGCTTCTTTTACATGTCAATCTCAATTCCCTCTCCCTCTCCTCTGTCCCTGCCCCCCACCTACCTATCCCAACCCCTATTCCAACCCCTTTCTGCTCCCCATGGAGGGTGAGGCCTTCCATGGGGGAATCTTCAAAGTCTGTCAAGATTTGGAGCAGGGCCTAGACCCTCCCCAGTGGGTCTAGGTCAGTTAAAACTCCTCCTTGAGCACTTGGTTATTGTTGGGAATCTGAAGATCTAGGGGCATTATTTCATGTTCCCTTTCCATCCTCATTAAATCATTTGCATTAGTAGTACATGAAGTGAAGGAGGGTGGTCTCCTCTGGACTTGAACTTATTAAAAATAGATATGCCTTCTGTTTCTGCTGCTGCTGCTACTACTTATCATTCTTACTCTTTTATTCTTATTCTACTCTCACTCTTGTTCTTGCTCTTACTCTTTTGTCTCTTCTGTTGCCTAGAAATAGAAGACAGGGAAGCTCTAGAGATTCTATAGCCACAAGACACAAAGCCTTGGGTTCCCCTGATTCCCTGAATGAAAGAAAACCATGCTATCCAAACAAGAAACTTCATCTTGGACATTTACATATGTAATTAACTATTATTGGTGGGGCCAAATTGAATGATTTCTCTGTTTTTAGATGCTGTCATTTTTTAACTGCAATAATTTTAATCACGTTTATACGTTTTGTAAAAAGTGTAGATGACATGTTAACTTTTTGAAACATCTTATTTCCCCAATTTTCCCCATGATATATGTCACAATATACTTAATTATTCTTTTAGACTACAGTTTCTTTCTATCATCATTTTTGATCAAAGTCTCCTGCACTTCATTGTTCAGTCCTGATCCTACAAAATCCCCTTTTCTTCTCAAGCTACCTTCCTACTTTCATGTCAGTGTGTGTGTGTGTGTGTGTGTGTGTGTGTGTGTGTGTGT